GTTGGATGTGACGGAGAAATCAATGGGGGGTGGTGTCCCCGGGCTGGGGGGGGGAGACAAGAAACTCGGTTTTGGAGAGGTTCAATTTAAGGAAGTGGAGCGACATCCAGTCTGATATGTCGCTCAGTAGGTGTGTGATTCGGGCTGAGACCAAGGGGGTGAGGTGGGGGGTTGAGAGATAGATTTGTGTGTTGTCGGCATAGAGGTGGTAGTTGAAGCCGTGAGAGTGTATGAGTTGGCCAAGGAAGGAGGTATAGATGGAGAAGAGAAGGGGCCTGAGGACAGAGCCTTGAGGGACCCCAACAGAGAGGGGGAGTGAGGGGAGGTGGTAGCATTATAGGTAACGCTGAAAGAGCGTTGTGACAGGTAGGATGAGATCCAGGAGAGAGCAGAATCTCTGAGGCCGAGGGAGTGTAGTTTTTTTGAGGAGGAGGGGGTGGTCGACTGTGTCGAAGGCCGCAGAGAGGTCAAGGAGTAGGAGCACTGAATAGTGGCCATTAGCTTTGGCGGTTAGCAGGTCGTTGGAGAGTTTGAGTAAGGCAGTTTCGGTGGAGTGTAGGGGACGGAAGCCGGACTGTAGGGGATCGAGGAGGTTGTTGTCTCGTTGAGGTGAGAGCATAGGCGGGTGTAGACTAGGCGCTCGAGGAGTTTAGATGTAAATGGGAGCAGGGAGATGGGTCTGAGGTTGTTCGGGTCATTGGGGTCCAGGGAGGGCTTTTTAAGTATGGGGGTGATGTGTGCATGTATGAGATCATATCCCCCTTATGTATTATACATGGAGATCATATCCCCCCTTATGTATTATACATGGAGATCATATCCCCCCCTTATGTATTATACATGGTGATCATATCCCCCCCTTATGTATTATACATGGAGATCATATCCCCCCCTTATGTATTATACATGGAGATCATATCCCCCCTTATGTATTATACATGGAGATCATATCCCCCCCTTATGTATTATACATGGAGATCATATCCCCCCCTTATGTATTATACATGGAGATCATATCCCCCCTTATGTATTATACATGGTGATCATATCCCCCTTATGTATTATACATGGAGATCATATCCCCCCTTATGTATTATACATGGTGATCATATCCCCCCTTATGTATTATACATGGTGATCATATCCCCCCTTATGTATTATACATGGAGATCATATCCCCCCTTATGTATTATACATGGAGATCATATCCCCCCTTATGTATTATACATGGTGATCATATCCCCCCTATGTATTATACATGGAGATTATATCCCCGTTTCATTGGTGTCAGTGGAAGAATTACTGCCCCATCACTGGTATCAGTGGGAGGAATAGTGCCCCATCATTGGTGTCAGTGGGAGGAATAGTGCCCCATCATTGGTATCAGTGGGAGGAATAGTGCCCCATCATTGGAATCAGTGGGAGGAATAGTGCCCCATCATTGGTGTCAGTGGGAGGAATAGTGCCCCATCATTGGTGTCAGTGGGAGGAATAGTGCCCCATCATTGGTATGAGTGGGAGGAATAGTGCCCCATCATTGGTATCAGTGGGAGGAATAGTGCCCCATCATTGGTATCAGTGGGAAGAATAGTGCCTCATCATTGGTGTCAGTGGGAGGAATACTGCCCCATAATTGGTGTCAGTGGGAGGAATAGTTCAACATCATTGATATCAGTGGGAGGAATAATGCGTCATCATTGGTGTCAATGGGAGGAAATAGTGTCCCCATCATTGGTATCAGTGGAGGAATAGTGCCCCGTCATTGGTGTCAGTGGGAGGAATAGTGCCCCGTCATTGGTGTCAGTGGGAGGAATAGTACCCCATCATTGGTGTCAGTGGGAGGAATAGTGTCCCATCATTGGTGTCAGTGGGAGGAATAGTACCCCATCATTGGTGTCAGTGGGAGGAATAGTACCCCATCATTGGTGTCAGTGGGAAGAATAGTGCCCCATCATTGGTGTCAGTTGGAGAGAGAGTGCCCCGTCATTGGGGTCAGTGGGAGGAATAGTGTCCCATCATTGGTGTCAGTGGGGAGGAATAGTGCCCCATCATTGGGGTCAGTGGGAGGAATAGTGCCCCATCATTGGGGTCAGTGGGAGGAGGAATAGTGTCCCATCATTGGTATCAGTGGGAGGAATAGTGCCCCATCATTGGGGTCAGTGGGAGGAATAGTGTCCCATCATTGGTGTCAGTGGGAGGAATAGTACCCCATCATTGGTATCAGTGTGGAGGAATAGTGCCCCATCATTGGTATCAGTGGGAGGAATAGTGCCCCATCATTGATATCAGTGGGAGGAATAGTGTCCCATCATTGGTGTCAGTGGGAGGAATAGTACCCCATCATTGGTATCAGTGGGAGGAATAGTGCCCCATCATTGATATCAGTGGGAGGAATAGTGTCCCATCATTGGTATCAGTTGGAGGAATAGTGCCCCATCATTGGGGTCAGTGGGAGGAATAGTGTCCCATCATTGGTGTCAGTGGGAGGAATAGTACCCCATCATTGGTATCAGTGGGAGGAATAGTGCCCCATCATTGGTGTCAGTTGGAGAGAGAGTGCCCCATCATTGGGGTCAGTGGGAGGAATAGTGTCCCATCATTGGTATCAGTGGGAGGAATAGTGCCCCATCATTGGTGTCAGTGGGAGGATTAGTGCCCCATCATTGGTGTCAGTGGGAGAATAGTGTCCCATCATTGGTATCAGTGGGAGGAATAGTGCCCCATCATTGGTGTCAGTGGGAGGAATAGTACCCCATCATTGGTGTCAGTGGGAGGAATAGTGCCCCATCATTGGGGTCAGTGGGAGGAATAGTGCCCCAAGGGCTGCTTACAGGCAATAATGGGCCACCTTTGACCTCCAGACAGAAAATGGGGCGGAGCTTTATCTGACTGGCTGCAGCTTCTAGTGCACATTGTGAGAAGCTCACAGTGTGCAGTGACATCAGAGGAAGCCGTTTCAGTCCAGGAGAGGAGCCGGTACAGAGCAGAGTTCTGCTTTAACATATTATCCTTATTAAAGAGAGACTTCAGGAAAATACAACGCCGCCGCGACTCACAACCAGGACCGTCAAGCGCGCCAAACCTGATATTACACTCACTGACAGATGACTTTTGTCACCGACGAGGTTCTCCTGGAAAGTCTTGTCTTCCTAAATGTCACCCTGGTTTACCTTCCCTTCTTGAGGCACGTCGATGTTTAGAGGAAACGTCGAGCTATTCTCTTTGTCTGCGATGGGGGCGGCTCAGCGACTCACCAGACAGAGCGATCCCCGCTGTGATTCAATTTGTACATCACTTTTCCACTTAATTGCTCATTTTTCTGCTAGACAACAACGCTTTTGGCTGCCTGTTGCCGGCGCCGCGCACAATGTGCTGTTGGGGGGAAATTCTCCGCTGATAGACAACTGGAAGAGGAACGCAACGACGAAGGCTTTGCCGCTGCATGGAAGTCGGCTCTACGTAGCGGAAAATCGCGGCTGGCAGACCTCGCCTAGTCCTGACACGTACGGCACAACTAGGATGAAATGATTCTTGCTCGCCTTTTGGTTTATTGTAGGAAAAGATGTGCGCAAATAGACGGACGCCATGAAGGCATACCGACGCGTTTCATGCAACGTAGAAGTAGATGTAGTGGATACAACTTTGTCCGTTTTTGATAATGGACGTAAGATAGTGTCCATCAGCGGTGGCGTCGTGGGGGGTGCAGAGCGTGCCTGGGTGACACCCGCCAGAAGGGTGACACTATCAAGTAGGAGGGCCCAATGAGAGACTAGGTCCGTCCTGGGAGGTGCCCACAGCTTCTGAACCGGGGGGGGGGGGGCTCTTGTCCATAATGGGCGTGGTACTGACACCGCCCAGATGATCCACTTTGGCTCACAATTGATATGATCCAGAAATATTTAGACAGATTAAAGGTGAATAAAGCCCCTGGACCGGATGGCATACACCCACGGGGCCTTAACCACCTCCCATCCAGCTGTTGTATATAATTGGCCTGACGGTGGCAGTGGTGGGTTGGGTGGCCGTTTATAAACGGCCTCTCCGCACCTTGCTTGTGCGCGTTCCCTGGGAGCTCGCAGCACCGCGATCCGGTGCCTGCTGTATCCTCCGGACACAGTGAAACACCGATCGGCGGATGGGACATCTGTGTGAGGTCCCAATCATGTGATCACTGATTGGCCAATCAGTGATCACATGCAGAGTAGTAAGCAAGATGTCACTTGTGACATCATTGCTTACTACGTGTGAAATCTGTGAATGATCACAGAGGTCACATGGTACAGGGCTATTCACAACAGCCTTGTACCATGTGACAAGCTGTGACCAATCACAGCTCACACAGTGGTTCTCAAGGGCCGCAGGAATTCAAGCTAGAGAGGAGAAATGATTGCTTTTACAGACTTTATGGGTGTAAAAGCAATCAGTGTAAAAAAAAAAAAAAAAATCCATGGTGACACTGTACTGCTAGGGTGATAGTATGTAAAAAAAATAAATAAATAAATTAATAGAAAAAAAAATGTAAAAAAAAAATGTTTAAAAATTATAACTTTTGGTTATAAACTAATTTGGGTATTTTTTTTTTTTTTTTACTAAAAATATAATGGAATACAATTTGGCCAAAGAAATACTATTTATTTGCAAAATTTTATAAGAAAAACACTTTTTGAAAATTTTTGGACGTTTTAATTTACATAGCAAAAAAAATAAAAATCCCAGTGGTGAATAAATACCACCAAAATAAAGCTTTATCTGTCTAAAAAAAAATGCTAAAAAATTCATATGGGTACAATGTTGCATGACCGCGCAATTGTCATTCAAAGTATGATAGCGCTGAAATCTGAAAATTGGTCTGGAAAGGAAGGGGGGGGAAAGTGTCCGGACTGGAAGGGGGGGGAAAGTGTCCGGACTGGAAGGGGGGGGGAAAGTGTCCGGACTGGAAGGGGGGGGGGGAAAGTGTCCGGACTGGAAGGGGGGGGGAAAGTGTCCGGACTGGAAGGGGGGGGGGAAAGTGTCCGGACTGGAAGGGGGGGGGGAAGTGTCCAGACTGGAAGGGGGGGGGGAAGCGTCCAGACTGGAAGGGGGGGGAAGCGTCCAGACTGGAAAGATGGGGGGGGGGAAAGCGTCCGGACTGGAAGGGGGGGAAAGTGTCCGGACTGGAAGGGGGTGAACGCGTCCGGACTGGAAGGGGGGGGGAAAGTGTCCGGACTGGAAGGGGGTGAAAGTGTCCGGACTGGAAGGGGGTGAAAGTGTCCGGACTGGAAGGGGTTAAAGAATTCAGCTCTGTCATTTCAAAGCCATTGTTTCTCATTTTTCGGGACTCTTTAATGACTGGCATAGTACCACTGGATTGGCGTAAGGCCAATGTGAGGCCAATATTTATAAAGGGGACAAAATCTTTACCAAGTAATTACAGATCTGTTAGTGTAACTTCTATAGTTGGGAAGATATTGGAGAGTTTAATAAAAGACCACATAGAGGAGTTCCTGCTGGAAAAAAATATTTTAAGCAACAGACAGCATGGAGGCATGAAAGACAGAAGTTGTCAAACAAATCTGATTTCTTTTTATGAGGAGGTGAGCAAAACCTTGGACAGAGGGGCGGCGGTGGACGTGGTATACTTGGACAGAGGGGCGGCGGTGGACGTGGTATACCTGGACAGAGGGGTGGCGGTGGATGTGGTGTACTTGGACAGAGGAGTGGCGGTGGACGTGGTATACTTGGACAGAGGGGTTGCAGTGGACGTGGTATACTTGGACAGAGGGGTGGCGGTGGATGTGGTATACTTGGACAGAGGGGTGACGGTGGACGTGGTATACTTGGACAGAGGGGTGGCGGTGGATGTGGTATACTTGGACAGAGTGGTGGTGGTGGACGTGGTATACTTGGACAGAGGGGTGGCTGTGGACAAGGTGTACTTTGACAGAGGGGTGGCGGTGGGCGTGGCATACTTGGAAAGAGGGGTGGCTGTGGACATGGTGTACTTGGACAGAGGGGTGGCTGTGGACGTGGTGTACTTGGACAGAGGGGTGGCTGTGGACTTGGTATACTTGGACAGAGGGGTAGCTGTGGACGTGGTATACTTGGACAGAGGGGTGCCAGTGGACGTGGTATGCCTTGGATTTTTCAAAAAGTGTTTGGCACAGGTCCCCACACACGGCTAATGTGTAAGGTAAAGTCTACAAGCTTGGAAAAATCCATATGTAAATGGATAGAAAACTGGCTAAAAGATGGTATTCAGAGAGTAGTGGTTAATGATTCATACTCTGAATGGTCTGGGGCATCAGTGGTGTACCCCAAGGTTCAGAGGACAAGGGGGTGCTCTTTACATCTGGAGGAAAAGAAATGTAATCTCCAAACATGGAAAGGTTTCTTCACAGTGAGAGCTGTGAGAATGTGGAATAGACTCCCTCCAGAGTTGGTTGTGGCCAGCTCAGTGGATTGCTGTAGGAAAGTCCTGGATTCTTTCTTGGATACACAGAATATAACTGGATATAACATTTATAGGGAAAGTTGATCCAGGGAATATCCGATTGCCTCTCGGGGGATCAGGAAGGAATTTTTTTCCCTGCAGGAGCAAATTGGATCGTGCTTTGCTGGGTTTTTTGCCTTCCTCTTTATTTCTGTATTATGTATTATTATTATTATATCGTTGCATTATTATTATTTCTGTATTGTTTGTATGTATTATTATTATATCTTTGCATTATTATTATTTTTCTGTATTTTTTTTTTTTTATTTTTTTTGTTTGCATTATTATTATTTTTTTATTATTTGTATTATTTTTTTTTTTTTTTTTTATATCCTTGCATTATTATCATTTTGTATTTTTATGTATTATTATTAATATTATATTTTTTTTTATTATTTCTGTATTTTTATGTATTATTATTTTTTTTATATTTTTGCATTATTATTATTTTTTTTTTATTTTTTTGTTTATTATTATTATTATATTTTTGCATTATTATTATTATTTTTTTTTTTTTTTTATGTTTTATTATTTTTATATTTTTTTTTTTTATTATTATTTTTTTTATTTTTTTATTTTTTTATTATTATATTTTCATTATTATCATTTCTTTATTTGTATGTATTTTTTAATAATATTATATTTTTTTTTATTATTTCTGTATTTTTTTTGTATTATTTTTATTATATTTTTGCATTATTATTATTATTTCTGTATTTTTCTGTATTATTATTATATAGTTACATTATTATTATTATTTCTGTATTTTTCTGTAGTATTATTATTATTATTGTTAATATTATATTTTTGCATGATTATTTCTGTATTTTTTTCTGTATTATTATTATTATATTTTTTTGCATTATTATTATTATTTCTGTATTTTTCTGTAGTATTATTATTATTATTGTTAATATTATTTCATTATTATTATTATTTCTTTATTTTTCTGTATTATTTTTATTATATCTTTGCATTATTATTATTTTTGTATTTTTATGTATTATTATTAATATTATATTTTTGTATTATTATTTCAGTATTTTTTCTGTATTATTATTATTATATTATTGCATTATTATTATTATGATGTTTTCTCTGTGTATATAATTATTCACCATTTTATAATAAAGTATGATTTTCACCTTTTTTCATCCTTTCAGCCTCTCACCGTGGCTGACCTCATGCAGGCATTTTGCAGCCACTTCATATCTACATGAAAGGAGGTGAAGGATAATCTGCCACAGTAATGTAGACAGCAATAAAAAGCTGCCATGGGCAGTAGCCTTTCCTACTCGGCTGAAAATGAGAAAAAAAAAGAAAAAAAAAAGAGAAAAAAATCATCTGACCTCTAAAGAATTACAGAATAAATGAAGAGTAATGGAGACAAATGCAGCTGCGGGTTTAACTGAACATTTTATTTCCCTTTCTTATGAATTCTTCATAGCAGGCCGTCTCCGGGACAGGAAATGAGCAGCAAAAGTAAAGCTGAACTCCAAATAATGAACGACAGTTTTGTATTTCTAATTTTCATACAGAAGCAGCGTAAGTACCTGAATCTGACAATGCTATTAGCTCTTTGAAGTCCTTGTACAGCAGAGCTCAGACTGGGGGACAGAAGCAGCATGAGGAGCCAATCAGGGGCATGCTGATACCTTAGATTGTACGCTCCTCGGGGGCGGGGACTGATGTGAATGTACAATATATATGTAAAGTGCTGCGTAAATTGACGGCGCTATATAAGTACCTGAAATAAATAATACATGCTGATGGAAAAGAGAGAGCAGTGATGGAAGCAGGGGCGGACTGACAACTCATGGGGCCCCCGGGCAATAGGGGATCATGGGTCCCCCGAAGGTGCCACAAGCAGGGGCGGACTGACCATTCGAGCACTCCGGCACTACCCGAGGGCCCGGAGTCAGTAGGGGGCCCCATGAGATGCCCCTGGTACCTTTCATTGTTTTTTCCATAGGCTTTTTTGGGTGTGGGTGAGGACACAGGTGCCCCATGATCCCCTATTGCCTGGGAGCCCCATGAGTTGTCAGTCCGCCCCTGCAAGGTAGGTATACTGCGTCAGCAAGGTCTCTCCAGGACAGGGGCGGACTGACCATTTGGAAACTCTGGCACTGCCCGAGGGCCCGGGGTCAGTAGAGGGCCCCATGAGATGCCCCTGGTACCTTTTTCATAGGCTTTTTTGAGTTTGGGCAAGGACACAGGGGCCCCATGATCCCCTATTGCCCGGGGGCCCCATGAGTTGTCAGTCCACCCCTGGCCACAAGCATAAGATCCAGTTTGCCTTTGATCAGGAATAGGTGAGAGAAGGACTTTTTTGTGATGAGGAACACTGGTGGGGGGGGGCCACAGACTTTGTGATGGGGGATTCTGATGTGAAGGAGAGATGGGGGCCCTATGACATGCAGAGGGGAAACTTATGTAAAGAGGGCGCTCTGATGTGATGAGAGAGCCTCTGATGTGATGGGGGTCTCTGTTGTAGGGGTACTGTGCTGTAATGGGGGCACTCATGTATATAGGAGGAGACTATGACATTATGAGGGCCTCTAACGTTGTGATGGGGGACTCTGTAGTAATGGGGGGCATTTGATGTATAGGGGGACTCTGACATGAAGGGGGAACTCTTATGTGAAGGAAGGACTCAGGTGTGAAATGGGAATGGGGTCCTCTGACTTGATGTGATGGGAGACTCTGATGTGATGGGAGAACTGTGATGTGATGGGGGGGGGGGGGGGGCTCTGATTTGATGGGGAAGTCTGTCATAGGGGTACTCTGCTGTGATGGGGGGCTCTCATGTATAGGAGGAACTCAGATGTGATGGGAGATCTCTAATGTGGTTGGGGGGACTCTGATGTGTAGGGGGGATTCTGACGTTGGAAGGGGGCTCTGACTGTGCGATGGGAGGACTCTATAGTGATGGGGGACTTGTATGCAATGGAGTCCTCTGATGTGAAGGGGAACTCTGATATGAAGGGGGACTTGGATACAATGGGGAAGGGGGCTCTGGTTCTTTGATAGGCAAACTCTGTGGTGATGCAGCCCTTGGTGTACAGGAGAGACTCTTACATGAAGAGGGGACTCCGATGTGGAGAGGGCTGAGATGTGATATGATGGGAGGCCTCTGTGGTGGTGGGAGGCTCTGATGTGATGTAGTGCCTCTGACTCTGTAATAGGGGGAATCCATGGTGATGGGCACTTTGATATATAGGAGGGAGTCTGACATGAAGGGGGGGCTCTAATGTGAATTGGGGCTATGATGTGATATAATGGGGGCCTCTGTGATGGAGGGGGGCTCTGATGTGATGGTTGGGCCTCTGACTCTGTAATAGGGGGACTCTGTGGTGATGGACGCTTTGATGTATAGGAGGGAGTCTGACATAAAGGGGGGACTCTGATGTGAAGAGGGGCTCTGACATGAAGGAGGGAATCTGACAAAAAGGGGGGGACTCTGGTGTGAATTGGGGATAGGGTCATCTGATATGAAGGGGGACTTGGATGTGATGGGGAAGGGGGGGGCTGTGATGTGATGGAAGGACTCTGTCATAGGGGTCTTCTGCTGTCATGGAGGCTCTGATACACAGGGGGACTTGAATGTGATGGGGGGCTCTGGTTTTGTGATAGGGAAACTATATGGTGATGCAGTCTTTGGTGTATAGGAGGGACTCTGACAAGAAGGGGAGACTTTGATGTGAAGAGGGGCTGTAATGATATATGATGTGGTAGCCTCTGTGGTGGTGGGGGCTCTGATGTGATGTAGGGCCTCTGACTCTGTGATAGGGGTACTCCATGGTGACAGACACTTTGGTGTATAGGAGGGAGTCTGAAATGTGGGACTCTGATGTGAAGTGGGGCTTTGATGAGACATGATGGGGTATAGCCTTGGTGGTGGTGGGAGGCTCGGAATGTGATGCAGGGCCTCTGACTCTGTGAGGGGTGCTGTGATGTATAGGAGGGATTCTGACATGAAGGGGGGGGGGGGGGGGCTCTGATTTGAAGAGTGCTGTAATGTGATGTGATGGGGTAGCCTCTGATGTGATGGTTGGGCCTCTGGCTTTGTGATAGGTGCTTTGATGTATAGGAGGGAATCTGACATGATGGGGGGACTCTGATTTGAAGAGTGCATTAATGTGCTGTGATAGCCTCTGACGTGAAGGGAGGACTCAGGGCGGACTGACCATTTGGAAACTCGGGCACTGCCCGAGGGCCCGGGGTCAGTAGGGGGCCCCATGAGATGCCCCTGGTACCTTTTTCATAGGCTTTTTTGAGTTTGGGCAAGGACACAGGGGCCCCATGATCCACTGTTGCCCGGGGGCCCCATGAGTTGTCAGTCCACCCCTGGGAGGACTCTGTCATGGGGTACTCTGCTGTGATTGGGGGCTCTCATGTATAGGGGGGACTCAGCTGTGATGGGAGCCTGTTATCCCGTGATGGGAGGGCACCTGACTCCATGTGTGGTGATGGGGGGGGGGATCTGACATGAGGGGGGTTGTGTGCACCGTCCCAGGCTCAGGTTTCCCATTGATAAGTAACAAAGAAATGGTCTGGCCAGAGTTCCCCTTTAATGACCCACCCTTGGGGAACCCCCCCACATACAGAGGGACCCCCTCACATACAGAGGGATCCCCCCACATACAGAGGGACCTCCCACATACAGAGGGACCCCCCCACATACAGAGACCCCCCCGCATACAGAGGGACCCCCCGCATACAGAGGGACCCCCCCACACATACAGAGGGAACACCCCCACATACAGAGGGATCCCCCCACTTACAGAGGGACCTCCCACATACAAAGGGACCCCGCCACATACAGAGACCCCCCCCCACATACAGAGGGACCCCCACATACAAAGGGACCCCCCACATACAGAGACCCCCCCACATACAGAGGGACACCCCACATACAGAGGGACCCCCCACAGACAGAGGGATTCCCCCCACATGCAGAGGGACCCCCCCACAGACAATGGGACCCCCCACGTATAGAGGGACC